ATATGCTGTAAGATTTTGTAATTGATTTTCAACAAAAGGAAATATTGGTTTTTCTTGTTGAAAAAAATCTAATGTTTGAATAAATTGTTGAAAAAAAATAGAAATGAAGTTAACAAAAATTCTAATAAGTCTAAATTTTTGTGTATCAGAAAAAAAAGATGTAATAGTTTTTAATGTTTTTGTTCTGGCTTCTATTCTGTCGAGTTCAAGTTCATCTTGAAAAAATCTATACCAATATACAAGATGATCTTTTGTATATTTAACCATTTCAAACTAAGAATTCCACTGTATTTTATAAGGGAGAGGAATTTTTCATGATTGATTGATTCCATGAAATTTTAAGTGATCTATATATCGATGATGACATGCCGGACTTCTAATAAATGTTTTTTTAACCTTTTCTAACAATACTCTAACTATTGAAAAACCTTTAAATGTACGCCAAGTATCACTAAAAAAATTGTTTATTAGATTTATTAAACTTATTTGATTTTACAATAAAATATATAAATAAATTAAAACTTACCCAATTAAATTTAAAATATATGCACAGCAAGGAATGTGGATTAATTGTGACATTAAAGGATGCAAAACTTCACGATAACATTTTTTCATATATACTGCTGAATCCTTAAGAAAAAGTCGAAGAAGAGTAACTAAGATATCATATTTTGGAAGAATACTAATAAGGGTTTAATTCATAGTTACATTATTTACATATGTAAGAAAGTTTACAAAAACCAATTTCATATCTTTATAATATGCAAAAAGGGAATTAATTACACTTCTTTGACAAGCATCAGTTGTTTCATCTATGATAATAGCAACAGGTTTTTAATAAAAAAGATTTTTAAGATTTTTTAAATGTAAAGCAAAAGTTCGAGATACATATAGTTGATGTAAAGTTGCTGCCTGCGGAATAGCACCACCTTCTTTACAGTATTTTTTAAAAAAATTAAGTAAGGAATTTACTTTTTCTAAAGGAATATCTGCTGCGATAAAAGCTTCAATTAAATCATGAATCATAATTTTTTTGGATTCAGAGAAAGAAAGAGATGTAGCAAGTGTTTGTTATTACCGACGTTATTTGTTTTCATATAATTATTTTTTATTTTTATGTGAGATACTATTAAGGTAGTCATCGATCATTGATTTTCGTATCTAATCAACAGAATGATTACAAATGTTACAAAATAAAATTCCATTGTCAACTCAGAATTCACCTGGATATTCCTTTATTCTAGTATTAACATTAACTTTGCTTTGAAACCTCTTTTTCTCTTCATTACAAAAATAAACGTTAAAAAAAAAGGGAGAAAAAAAGATCAATTATCATGTTATACTTATTAAACCCTTTTATACCATTTCTGCAACTGAAGATCTATTCTGTGAGTTTTGCGAAAATTCGTGAAATGCAAAAAATCATCGTCCTTGTTCCTAATCATGAAGACTCTTCTCACTTATCATCTGACAATTTTTATATAGGCTAGATTAGTTTGAATAAAAATGTTAGATTTATAACCCTGGACTGCACCATTACACGTGACCTGCTTTCATATACGTTCGATAAAATAATACTTTATTTATGAAATAAAAAAGGTTGCCAGAAGCCAGCCTAATAATACATAAAAATTTCGAATATACTTCGTGGCTAAGGCCTATTGCTATTACATGATGTTTTAAATAAATACATAAATATGAATTTTATCATTAGGAGGTTGTTTGGAGAAATACTTAGAAATCAATTTATGTTAAGGCATTCCTGTTTCATTTAGACGTTTTTTATCAGAAAATTCTTCAATTTGGCTTTCAATTGATTTATCTTTCCTGATGTCATTGATCTTTCAAAGTAAAAAGATGACAGGAAGAATCTTTTCAAATAAGGATGGCTACCTATCTCTAATCATAATTCTTAACTTATCAACTGTTTCGCCGGTAGAGATTTTAAGCGTAGTAATACTTCCTTCTGATAGATTTGATCTATCATCTATCTTGCGAGCTAAAAGAAGACAATTGAGAGTAATAATAGTATTAGACATCTTGCTTTCCTAAATACAAGACCCATGGTGAGAAAAACTCTCTTATATATACATAATCTATGGCATATTCTTACCTTATTTTGCGTTAGCTACGCTAGTGAAACTATTTTTTCTGGGAAAGTTTTTAGCGGAAAGTTAGCTGAACTTCTATATACTATTACATGCTTTATATCTTGCTGGAAAAAAGATAAGGAGATATGAGGTGTAATTAGTATTACCGTCTGATGCTAAGAGTTTCATGAAGGCACATGTAAACAGAATTTTCATACCTTTTCACATGTAGATCTACCAGAGAGATGCAAAGGTAGTTACTCCTTATAGATCTCAAAATTACAAAGTCCTCAGCCTTCATAGTATATGCTTTGTTGCACTATTTACTTATATGGTATGCCCTGTGTTGCAACTAGACCTCCCTTCACATTTTTCTCATGTTTGTTCAGGAAAAAATAAAGAATAAAAGTTAATGTTTTCTTTTTTCGAATATATATGCGAAAATTAATATGTCACACAGACCTTGTCCTGTGATCTACTTATTTTTCTATCACATAAGGAGTAACCTAAAAAATTCTTTCGAGCTGGTAATTACCGCTCTGGTTGATGATCAGTATTTCAGACACAAATTTGAATATATGTTAATCAGAGATAAACACAATTATGACAAGAAATACTAATAATAATTCTGATCAAGTTAATGCTCAAATTCAAGAAAATCTTGAATTGCATTTATATGAAAACCCATATGAAGAGCTTTTATATGAAATACTTTTATATAAGAAGAAAAATATAATAGCTATTCAGGAAAAACTAGGTATGACGATGGTCCCAAAGGGACCCATCTATTAATAACAATACAAATCAAACAGCATTTAATCAAAGCAAGAAAGGAAAAACACTTGAAGATTCATTTGGGTTGTTGTTTGATTTAATAAAGGAATTAAAACCGATATTAGAGAAAATCGATATCTGTGATCACCCCATCCTTACAATATTACATTAAAATATATAAGATCTTATGGATGTAATGTTTGGAGAAATGTCACTTGGGGAAATTTATTATTTACTTTTATATTTGAAAGCAGATATAAACACAATTCAAGATTATCTTGATATTATTAGTTATACTAATCGAGAAATAAGTGGATTAGAAACTAATAAAAATACAATAGCATATCTTTATATGATTAGATTTTCCTCTAAAAAAAAGTTCAGATGAGTTAATATCAATAGGGGGTAAAATGTTTTGTTTTATTGAGAGGGCTTTCATTAATTCTGAAGGTCTTCCCCTCAACAATTGCATGAAGTTTTGTAAAAAATTTAGTTGATACAGACCAGTGCCCATGTCTAGAACAGGTTAGCTAATCTATATTTTTTTGTCGCACAGGAGTACATGCATGTGGCTTAGCAAAAAATCTTCTAAACTGGCGATCTCAAAATTCTAAAGTCCTTAGCCTTTCATAACATATACTTTTGTCAGCATTATTTACTTTTACGGTAGGTTCAGTATTGCAACTAGACCTTCTTTTACATTTTTCTCATGTTCATTTGAAAAAAATAGGATATTGTTTAGCTAATATTTTCTTGTCATTATATGTGAAAATTATTATGTTGCACAAACTTGCTTTGTGATCTGCCTATCTTTGTCGTACAATTTAGCCGAAGGCGTTGTGCATAGCTTAACAAATTCTTCTGAACTAACGATTACTCCTTCAGACTGGCTAGCTTAGAATAATCATTTTTTTGCGCAAACTCTAGCTTTCGTACCAATCTATTCAATATTAATTTAAGACTAATTATATAGACTTCTTGTCAAAGTTCAGGCGCAACCCCTGTAAAAACCACTTTTTTAATATTTTTATTCACATCTTCTATAATATTATCTAAACTTTCCATATTATGCAAATTGCTAGTAAACCCTATACTTTGTTATAGGAACCCATATCCTTAATTGAAAAAATAATATTAATATATGCATAGTGATTTCCTTACCCACTTGCTCATACGTCAGAAAAAAATATATAATATTCATGTTAATGCTGTAACTTGTCTTCCCTATATATTCACCATTTACTAGTTTAGCTTATAAAAAAGCTTTGCCAGAAGACAGTTAGATTGACATTGCTCTGAGCATTTGTTCTATTTCATTATCTGATCTTTCGCAATTCTTCTCTTTAGCTATATGATAATAAAGCTCATATAATTCCTCTAGACTGACATACAGATCATTATCTGCATATCTTTTGCGATAATTTTTTAGCCTTAGAGTATATGCCTCTTTGTTAAGAAATATCTTAACTGTGACTGTTTTAATATAGTCATTCAGATTCTTTTCAGTTCGCAATTTCTTTAGATAGTCTCTATAGTTTTTTGCAAGATTATCATATTTTTTGTCCTTTTGCAATGCAGTTTTTATGACTTTGACTTGCGCAAGTTCTATATCCTTATGATTGACCATTTTTGTAATATTTCTACTATAACGATAGAAAAACTTTAATTAATAAAAATATATTTTTTAGAATTTTTTTAGAATTTTTTTATCTGAAAAAAATATTTGTTATAAAACATCTATGTTTTGTCACGAAGTTTGGCTTTCATAGCCTTTTCTTCTGCTTTCTTAGGAGATATTTCAGATACTATCAGGAGTTTATATAGTCCAATTTGCTAATGTCTATAGGGTAGAGTTCAAATCCCATCAAGTAAGATTCAGCGCTTGTTATCATATGGATTCAACCCTATCTTATTTACCTTTTCAGATATATTTGATGATCATAACTGCGTAGACTATACATATCATGCTAGGTTAATTTCTTGTTTCTAAGACATTTTAGGAACTTATTATGTCAAAGCTCCCTTTTGACCATGCATTTCTTTATACCCTTTGCCTTTTTGATGTCATGCTTTTTCTTCTAATATTTTACATCCTGAGATTTTCTAAATTCTTCTTCTTCTAACTCTTTTTTGAAATCTGCATCTGTTTCAGAAGTTTTAGAATCATGGCCTGCTGGAAGAACTGAATACATTTTTGGCTTTAAGCATACTGATTCACCTATTGGATCCCCTTTTGTCTTATCCTTTATTAAAAATAAGTCTTCTGAATAGTTAAGATCGAAAATGTCTGGTCTTTTTGCTTGATCTTTATATATGTCTTCAGTTTTTATTCACATTATGAGCGAGTCTGTATCTGTATAAAGTAGACGGGTCTTATCTTCATAGTGAGGCTTTATGTAACTGTACCAAAAGTTAAACATCATAGTCTTGCTAATATCGAGAATTGCCTGCCCTACATAGATTGGTTTGTTTAGAATTACTATACTTTTAACATATAGACTGCTGTAATTCCTTCCCCTTCGAATGCTTTAAAGCCTACATACAATGGTAAACTTGCTAGGCATCTGATTTTTTTTATCCTCTTCTATTCAGAGTAATTCTACTCTCATATATTTACGAACATTTTCTATTTGTTTACCAAAGACTGCATTGTTCTTTAGCTTATAATATATGACCCCAAACTCGTCCCTATTAGCTTTAGCAATTTTACACTTGCGAATATTTTTCTCAATATAGTCTTTCATCTATAGAGACTGCCGAAATTTAAAAGCATCATGAATCTTTGTAACCTTTATCCTGAACTTAATATATGTATGAAGAGCTCGATAGTAAACTACATAATTCTTCTTAGTAAAGAGAGTCTGGACTAGTTTCTCCTCAGACACATATTTTCCATTTCCAACTTCTTTATCTTTTACTAATCTTTCATTATATAGACTAAGCCAGTTTTCTGGAACTATCTGCTTTTCGGATACTAATGGATAATCTGTAAAGAAATCGTGCAAGTGCACTGGGGCTTCTAGATCAACTTCTAGTGTATAGCCTATTTCTGCATTTGGTGCTATGCTTTGGATATCTGGTATTTTCTCTGGTACTACTTTACCTAAAATTTCTGTAAACATGTATTGGATCATTGCACCTGAATATAAAGCATTCATATCCTCATACATGATCTAGGAATTCAGCTTACTGGACTCATAGTCTGGATATTATGGATTATTTGCTTTGGCGTATCGATGATTTGTTATTATCATGCCTTCACAAATATCATTTTCTACCGTTAGATATTCATTTATATTTGTTATGAGTTTGAGTTCTGCCCGCTACTTTTGTAAAGAGAATCATTAAACATTCTAGGTGCTGAGACATAATGGGAAGGATCTAAACCATCATCTTGTAGACACATGATGGTATAGTTTATAAATACATCAGCTAGTAAGAATACGTCTGTCTTAAGGTAAAGATCATGATAGTTTCTAAAGCTTTGCATCTCGAATGTTTGCCATATTTTTTGTGCATATTTGTAATTCTCTTTGCTTATATTTTGCTGACTAAGAATTGAATAGAAGTCTTTTCTAGGCAAAAGGCTTGTTCTGTCAAATTTTTTTCATGTATTTGTCCAGTCGTATAGGAAAACGCCCTTTCGAAAAAGAAGCTTAATCTTATCTATTGAATAGCCTTTCTCAGTAAAGTACCTAACAGTTAGGAGGAATTTTTCAAGCTTTCCTCTTAGATATTCTACTAATTTATCTAATCCTATTCCTATATGCTGAAAGCTATCAAGAAATCGGAGCTGGCTAACATTCATAGCTTTGTACTTTCCTATATTCTCTAGGATGCAATTTAGCTTATTAGCCGTGAATTTGCTCATAACTTTCATAAGCGGATAAGAGTTATATCTCTGGAAATTATGACATATAAGAGGCATTTTAGTTTTGAAAAAGCCTATTCACAATTTTTTTTATAAGAGTCATGAGTTGGGCCTCGGTACTTTTCATTTATATGATTATGATCTTTTACTTTTCTATTAAATGCACTTAAAGCTTCTCAGTATTTTTCTTTGCTTCTTTCTTTTTAGGATTTTCTTTTTCCATGCATGTTTCCCATTCTTTGATTTCTAATAAATTATGCTTTGTTTATTCAAGTTTTTGTAATATCTTTGATGCTGGTTTTAAAAAAGGTCTCTTGCAAATCTAGCATTCTGTCACCTCATTGTATGCTTTAAGATCTCCTGGTGCTATTATCATTTCTGTAGACGCAGACAAATCCTTCTATATATTTGCTAGCTTCTCCTCGATTTTTGTAACGAACCTTTCAAGTGTATCTGGACTCTATATAAATCTTGACTTATGATTTCATAGTTGAGTGAACTATCTATATGAACAACTACATAGCAATAGCTACACAGCTTATGTATCTGTAATCTTTCAGTATAGGTTAACTTCGTTTTCTCTTCGAGAGTTAACTTTTCGGTTAACATTTATAGATCTCAAAAAATATGATATAGATTTGGTTGCATACATTTATGGTTATAAAAAGCTTTAATATTCCTATTTTTAACTGACATTTGTGATCGCTGGAAAGCATTATTTAGACTCTTGCATTTTGGCAAATATTCATTGTATCTTATCTCTGAAGAGTATACATGAAGATAATAACGGCAAAGGTATTTTTGCCCTTTATGTTTGTTATGATTGTATACTAGTTTATGTAAATCTTTGATAATACAGTAATGGCTTCTATCATTTTCTGTAATTACTAGAAGATTTACTTGCTTGTATTCATTCCTTCTTCTTTCTGTAACATAACGAAAGTCAAGACATTTGTTTTGATTATGCCATTCATAAATACATAGACTAATTTCAGGGTTATTTTCTTCAAACTTTTTATAAACTGGTATTGAGACTGGTACTGGAATTGGGATGTTTTTCATATTAAGCTCCTCCACAAAATCTCTATATAGCTAATACAGATTTCTTTCTGGATGAACTTTAACTAGATGCAAAACTTCTAGGATACTTCAGTTGAAACACCAGTCATCATTATTTTAAATATTAATAATTCCGTTATTACGTTTTGGCAAAGTTTCTGACAAAGGTATATAAGCAGTAAGACCAATTGGATTGAAATCAGATATCTCTATACTAAATTCTTCTATATATTCTGGGTAAGCATCAGACATTTAGTATATTAGTTAGCTTTAACCGTCATGCTATTACTTGCTTATATAATTTTTCTTTAATTATTTATTTCCTATGTATCTATCACTTTTCGATCATAAAAACCCTACTGAAGATAAGTATTTACAAGCTTTCCAAGCGATTCTAGCTATTGTAAAACTGAAGCATTAATTAATTATTAATTAATCTTTTTGAATCTAGTAATAAAAAGTAAGATGATCGGTGAATATTCTTGCCCATTTCTCTGCAATACCAGAAAGGCTTGTGAGAATGCTAGTACTAGGCCTGAAGGATGTTGATTCCATTGGAAGGCTAAAAAATGTATACCTTATTTCAATTGTGGTAAACCTACTGCTTCAGCTTGTGAACGATGTCCATTACATATCAGAGGGTATTATATTACCTAACACTATAATAGACTTCGATCAGAGTTATAAGAAAAACTTCAATCAGAAATGCGAGAAAGAACTTTTAAAGAATTAATGGTTACCCATAGAGATGCGCTTGCAAAGCTTAATATTACTCTTTGCAAGGAATACTTTCATCTGATAAAATTAGAAGAAGAAGAATATTGTGATAGTTGTCAGCCAGAATAAGTAAAGCAAATAAATGAAAAGACTATTTTAGCTAGCTTTATATCTTAATTTTAACCAGAATTTGAGTGCAATATTTAACGGGCATTTCGTTAGACTTGCTTTTTAGCCAAAGACGCAGAGCATATTTTTTTTCATTAAAGTTTTATAATTAATATGCTATTTGATAAGCTAACTCACATAGAATTCATTCTTGACTAAGGAAAAGTTAGGACAATTCCATGGATTTTATAGAAAGATATTGGTTTTTTCATTAGATTTAATAAATTTCCCAGCAGGGTGGAATTGTTAG